TTGTTGAACCTCATCAGGTTCCTCTCTGCCCAGCTTTCCAGCCTATCCAGGTCACGCTGAATGGCAGCACAGCCTGCTGGGGGATCTACCACAACTCCCAGTTTGGTGTCGTCAGCAAACTTGCTGAGGGTACATTCTAACTCTTCATCCAGGTCGTTTCCTTTATGCTGTTGCTCTCTAGAATAGTTTACAAATAAATCCGCAGTAAGTACATATATACACATATTATATTTGCAGATCAGCTACTGACCTATCAACAGCACAACAGTATTTTTCTGCATACTTGAATTTACTGAAATTTCATTTCAAAAAAAATTGCAATATATCAAAGAAGGAATTTCTAAAAAAATATAAAACAAGACTTCCGTAGCTCAGTTTTTCAGCCTAAAGAATTTGTATTTCTGGCTTTATATTCTACACATCTTGGTACTGATCTTCATAATAAACCAAAAATGTTGTCAAGTGGCTGGGGAGAGTGGCTCTAAAAAACAGTGTTGCATATCAAAAGACTGAACTATAACATCAATATTCATTTTTAAAGTTAATTTCTAAGGTTCCTGCCTGAAGAAAGAGTCCTCAAAGAGAAGAAAAAAGTAACATGTCTAACTTCACAGTCTCAGAGGGTCTAGAATGCTCCATTATTTTAAAAAGTGAGTTTCAACACAAGAAGTAACTGCTTTAGAGAAATCTAGCTTCTCTGTAATGCATTCTGTGCTCAATGGGATATGAACAAATCCCCACTCTCTGAAGAAGATACCTCTGCATCACTCCTGGCTCTCCAGAGGAAGGAAAGGCATTTGCTCCTTCTTCTCGGAGAAAAAAAAGTTTCCAAGTGTTTTGTTGGCCTGATTGAGAAAAGAAAGATTCAGGAATCACTTGGTATCTTTGAGCTTCCAAACCCAAAAAGATGACATGGCTCATTCTTCTCCTTTTTCCCTTCATTTCTTACTTGCTGTACTTCATTTTTATTTGCTTAGGTGCTTGAACTCAAGTTATTAAGCACTAACTGATAACCATACAATTCCTCCCTGTGTGGCTTTACTTCTTCAGCAGGTCAGCCTATATAATTACTGACTTAATTTGAGTTTTAGGTGAAGATACTGTCAGAGCAGATGTCACCTTTTAGAGACGAAGCTGCTATTGGAATCTACTGATAAGACCCTGTCCATATTGTGTAGGAAGCCTCTAGACAACTTTATGGCCCTAGGAACAGAGAAAGGAGATACAGGAGGTTCAACTTTGGTTGGTTTTTTTTTTCCCCCCTTTTTGATAAATGGAAGATGGAAATAATCCCTTTTGGCTATTAAAGTAGTTCAAACACATATTCAATTTTAGCTATTCTGGCTCTAGGCTCTGCAGTTGTCTGCAGCAATGTTAGGTCCTGGCAAACTTTGTGCTGAGATCTTTATGGGAATATCTAAATAGGAATGTAATAGCTGGCTGCTGCCATAAGAGGAGAGACTGCAAACGAAGATACTATGCTGTTAAGTGCAACAGAAAAAATAATATTAATTTTACAGATGTGCACATGTTCAAATACCCAAAACATTTTCTCTGCCTTGCATAGCTTCCTCATTCTGCTGCCATATGGTACGAAGAATTTTCCATCTTAATATTTGGAGACTGTTTTCTAACAGGAACTACTAGATAGTTTGTTAGTTTCTTAATAAGCAGCACAAATAAAGTATATTATTATTTAAAATTAAGACATCAAATCAATTATTTCTTCCTTGCTAAGTTCACTACAAAAACCCTGTGGAAAAAGACGTATGTCATAGATTACTGTATATTCAATGACCAGCTGTTTTAAATTTGGATATTAAGTAATTCACTCTTTGCTGTGTGCAAGAGCTGAATGATTTAATAAATTCCCATATGCTCCAACTTGTGCCAGCTATATTAGGTTATCGAAAATCCAGCTGCTGTTATGTTAATAGCTGCCAGTGCTAAAACTACTGAAGAAAAGAATGAATCGGCTTCAAGTCAACTAAGACATAAGCTGACACAGTTCCCACTTCAGATGTGTGGGAATACAACACATCTGATGACTAAAAACTAACACTGAGCCATAGTCACCTGAAAATTAAGTGCCAAAAACTCATGTGCATTGTTCAGGGTGGAAAATTAATACCCAATGAATCTGTATGAAGATAAGCAGCTCCATTTCCATCAGTTGTCCCAGATGCACAGGAATGTCCTATGACCTACACATACAGTTTACAAAATAGATTGTATTGTGTCAAAGTTTGCTTTTCTTTCTTACATTCCACAATTCCCATGCAGCTCTTACGTGACATGTTTTACATAGCTAGACTGCTGGATTTATCAATGATCATGAAAAATTGTTTATGAAAATGATTATGAAAATTTTATTCTTTAATGTACATGTATTTTATTGCAATTTAAGAGTCAAAAAGTTACAACTCCACCACCCTTAATTCATTAAAACAAGCACAGAAACAACAAAAAAAGCAGTTAAAGAGAAAAAGTAGCCAAACAAGCTGACAGAAATAATTCTCCAGGTATCTATTTTTAGGACAACTGGTTCAGAAATATCCATCAAAATATATCACTATCAAATTTTAAAAGCTAAGAAAATACTTCCTTGGATATTAAATTATTACTTGTAGATGCAAAAGTTTCGCAGATGAATGTAACTTTCATCTTCAGGTCAGTGTAAGTAAAACTCTTACATTTCTCACAATTAGCTCTGTTGTTCAGAGAAACAATTTTGAAATTATCCTAGAAATCATCAGTCCCATAAGAAAGATTAGAGTATTACTATATTGATGTAAATGTACATCAGCTATAGGACATAAAATAATCTCAAAAAAAACCCCAAGCCCAGTCCATTTATATTTGCTGAAGCTGGATCATCTCCAGTACACAAAGTATATGACGCTCAAAAGCCACATTAAAGAAGACTTCAATAACTTGAACTTCAAGCGGTCTACATATAGTAATTTAACTATAAAAAAATAATTTTAGAATGTATTATTTGAAAGAGATTAGGAATATATCGACAAATTAAAAGCATGTCATGCAGAGATTTAAGATGGTTATAAAAGCTCAAGCAAGGGGGCAAACCACATCAAGAGGCTTACAGAAAACACAAAGTCTTTGAAAGCTTAAAGAAGCTCATTCTTTTTCATACCTTAATTATGAAGCTGCAAGCAATTGTGTTTTCAGCTACATGTTCTTGACATTGCAAAAAAACATCACTGTTATTTTCTCAAATATTAGCAGACTTACTTTTCTTTAAGGAAATCCACTACTTGTTTGAAGTCCGCCACACAGTATTCTCTCTTCATGTCCATGAGCACACTGTCAGAAGCTGACTGGACTGGTATGTGCAGAAAAGCATATACTCTTGGGTGATTGAGAATCTTTGCCATTTCCTAAGAGTTATTCAAAAAGAAAAACAAACTTTAAAGCACTATGAAAACAATACACAAAACTCCTTTAAACTAATATATGGGGCAAGCATCAGCAGTCATACTTCTGAAACCCAAACAACACTGAGTTGCAGTGGCTTAATTTGAGACAGCAGGGACAGGTGAAAGCAGTTGGAAGCAATTTTCTTCTTAAAGAAAACAAGAAGAAAGCAATAGCATTGCATTTCCTTTGAGACAGGGATGACATTCCTTATATAGCATTGGTTATCCATTTAAAAGAAAATTTTAGAGACAAAGTCTTCTGAAAGTCAGTACTTTCAGACAGCGGCTGTTTTCAGTTTCAGAAGATGGCAAGCATCAGCTGTTTTCTTGTCAGAGTTCTCAGATACCAACATGAGAATGTCTCTAATTGGAGCATCCTTAAAGTTGGCCATTTGCTAATTAAGATATATCTGGCCATTTGCAAACCTGCTCCAAGACTGGTCTGAAATATGTTACCTGTGTTATTTCAGAGATAAGACTTCAGGAATTATAAGTGTTTGGCTATAAAATTGAATTAATCAAGGGGCAGCTAAAAGCAGAGCAACAGCTTGAAGAGACACAGAGGATGTTACACATTTTGGACAAACACAAAAGGTCAGAAAGAAAACAAAGTAAAGGTAATAGCAAAATGCAAACAAACACCCAAAAGTCCAAGCCAAACTAAACACCTGATTGAGGCTTGACAGGGTGATAGAACATAAGATGGAGCACAGAATATGGTGGTCGCATTTCTCTCATTTTTATTACACAATTGAGGGCATCGTCTAGCAAGAAAGTTTAAATACTTTTAAAAGTTGAGACAAAACAGCATTTATATTGTGTGCAATATGGTATAATACAGCCTGTTAATCTTTACCCTGCAAAAAATGTGAACTTGGACAAAGACCCATATTATGCACATGACCAGGTTTTCGCTTCAGTTTGTCCCTTTCTACCCACGCAGTGAGCGTACAGGACACGGCCCGGGATCGAGCGCTGCACTGCCCACTCTTCTGCCACGTGCATTCTGCACACTCCAGCCAGGCTCACTCAGACCAGTCCTCCTGTTTTCTTTGACAGTATAGATATTTTGTCTGACAACACCTACTGCTGCCAGATTTAGCTGTTAAGTTGCAACTATTTACAAATTCTTTCCAGCTCATTAATCAGCAATCTTAGTCACGCATCTAGATTTTCTTTCTGTATTTCTAGGAGGTTGGCCTAGATTATTGAAACAGAAGGTGAACACCCACGTGTCTTTTAACTTTCAGATACCCACCTTTTAAAAGCACTGATTTTTCGAACAAGCAGGAAAAACACACACCTTTCATGTGACAAACTTTTGTGTAGGAAACCTGAACTCTTTCAAATCACCTTTGAAAGAAGTTTCGAAAGTTTCTGTCTAAGATCCTATTGCAAAAATGTCTAAGAGAACTGGTTACCTTATTCAGTGGAATATCTACTCTATCTCAGGTATGTAAACTAAACATTACAGTAGTAACTGTACTGATAATGGGGGGCATACAATTCAATGCACAGAAAGGCTGTGTTCAGTGAACCTGGTTCTCAGCAAAAGCCAAAGGTAGCTGCCTTAATGAACAGAAGAGTAAAAAGAAAAGGCCACCATGCATCCATACAAATTTTATGTGTCCATTTCAGATTGAACCATTTGCCTATGCCCTTAATAATTTTAGATATTCAGCCAGAATATATTTTCAAAATGAAACAGCATAGAGCAACTTCTGTAAAAAAAAAGTAACAAAATGAGGAAAACTTTCCTTCTCTCATCTTCTAGAAAATACTGAAAACATAGTTTATATGAAGCATCTTAGTAGTCACCTTTGATTTTTTTTGCTTACCAGTAATAAAATATATTTCTAAAATACAAGAAATAGCAAAAGGGCTGGAACCTATGTACCACAAGGCTATTATTCTGCTTATCTCTTAGTTCATAGCACTTCATTCAATCTTCAAAACCAGATTTATAAGGAATCAATAAAAGTCAAGTTTCATAACATGTTTTTGAATCTGCTTCTTAAAAATAACTCACCTTACGACACTGAAAAAAAAAAATAATTCTTTCTCACTCCTCTCAACTTTGGCATCTTCTGAATAACAGCCTCTTAAACACGTGATCACTTTGTGAATGCTTTTTGAAGGTAATAAACTATTTATTAGAATTTCTAGATACAAAAGTGTTATTTTTTTTCCAGCTTTTGTAAGGCTGAGAATCATTTGATACAAAAAAACCAGATTTGTATCCCAAACAGAGGGAATATTACGTTTAAAAATTTAAGATTTTCTTCTTCCCCCTTTTCATTCATACTAAACGACACTCATATTTTTTAGGGGTTGCTTTTTAATCTTAAAATAGGGATTTATTCATTCCATGATAGTAGCTACTTATAAACCATGTACAAAACCAGCCACGCACTGCAGGCCAGCAGGAACCTATACAAAAAAAGCATAGCTACCTTGTATTTACCTGTGTTAAAGACACCATAGATAGTCAAGAACAAGAAACTACCACAAAGTTTTGGTTTTTAAAGTCACAAGTGAGGAAATTCTCTTAGTTTCATTTGTCTTCCTCTCTTCTTTGTCTTAAAAAAATGAAAATTTTGCTGCAAAGTATGAAAAGTGAAAACCAAATCCTAAAATCAAAAAAGTGTTTTCCTGTCTAGAGGATCTCAAAAAAACACTCAACCAACTCCAAACCCACTTGCTGTTCATCTTACAGCCACGTGCAGAATCCTGCTGGTCACACGTTTGATCTCCATCAGGGGTAGCACCTGCCAGGAGGAAGCTTTCGGCTACGCTTCCTGGGAGAGGGACTACACCGGTAGCGTTCAGCAGCCAAACAAGACTCTAACCCAGGCTGCTGCTTCTAGTTGTCCCCCATTTAAAAAAAAAGAAATCATATGGCTTCTGCAGTCACTGTTGTCAATATCTTTCACGATTAAGAACACAACTGTTGTCCTTTAAAGTAGTTTCCCTTGGTTCTGTGCTAACACGGACATCAAATGCCTGGCATTAATTAACTGAACTTTTCAACTGTCACTACAGGTCCCCGCGCGCAGTAAGAGCCACGAATGTAAGCTCGAAACCGATACTGACTATTCCACTGCACTCTATGTTCTGGACGCTCAAATCTCCTTCTAGAGAAGAGGATGCTGCAAACAACTCTTTCTACTACAAAGCCCTTTCTTTGCTTACTTTCTACTTTCTATTTTTACACAAATTATGCTGCATGTGCTTTAAGCACTAAAGTTCTATTGAGTATATTCCTCTATTTTCAGGCATAGATCTGAATCAAAGGCCCTACTGATGAACTGATTTCCCACCGGGTACTTCAGGATCATAACTATTAACTTGGCAAACTTAGCAGAACACAAATCATTAACACAAACCAAACACAAGACAGAAATACCTGCTGACCCGCTGTTTCTTTGTCATTGACTTTAAAGTACCACTGGTGTTCTTACATTTACCTTTTATAACCAGAAACTCGGAATAAGCAGTTCAGAAGCAAACAGAATGATGAACTAAACAAAAGGTTTGCATGATTACATCAGAAACCTGGATAAAATCAATCTTCCAAATGTTGTAGGTGTTCAGATATAAACATCATATTCTAACCCAGAGATTCAAGGTAAGATTGTTCCAGTCTTACCTTTTACCCTCCCCCTCTACACCTAAAACTACACTGAAGTACTTTACCATATAGATTTGATTAAATTACAGCTATGCACTGAATGGTCATATTTAGTCAATGCTGACAGATTTTCCCACACCACACATTGCACACAAAATATTAGATTTCATCAGTTAATAAAACTATTAGTTAATATCCCAAAGAGAACTTGAAGGACATCACGGGCTAATGCATAATTGTACTTTACAGTGTCTAAGCGTTCTAAGCTTAACATCTGTTTCTTGTTGTTTTCTATAAATACATATATATTTTTTACAAAATGCTTTGCATTACTAGATATAATTACATATTTCAGTCAGAAGGAAAAATGCAATATAGAATTTTATTTCCATCTGGAAACAATAAAGGAACAATTTTTTCAAATTATACGACTGTGAAGGAAAATTTCTGTCTTTAATCATGACTGAAACAGCTGATTGCCTTTTCCCCCTATTCCCTGGAATCTAATAATATGTCTATGAATGAAGGGAAGCACTACACGAAAATGACATTTCATGTAGGAATGAAAAGGTCAAAGAGTAGCACAATTTGTTTTAAGCTGACTTTACAAAAAATAAAAGTTGTCTACACTTGGAATCTAACAATGTATGTGAAATATCCTTTAGGATACTGATCACATAGGAAATATTTTTTTCCTGTTCTTAGCAGCTGGAATAAATCAGAACACAAGGCACATTGCCAGAAAGATTTTTATCTAGTCAGTATATTTTATCTCAGCAATTACAATACACAAATTTAACCACCTAACCAGAAAATCAGTCCTTCTGTTTGTAATGACACCACGCACAACCATAGAGAATCACAGAGACAATAAACATCAATATCTGTGCATCTTTATGTCAGTACCAGCAAGCTGTTCAGACAGTGCTTCATTCCCCTAACCTAAAGTAGGCAAAAATCCAGTATTTGAATTCTGCCTCATGTTTGAGTCATGATGATTGGAATAACTTGCTTCCTAGTGAAAGGATTTTGCCCTCTGCCAACAGCGAAGCCCAAAGAAACGTTCATCTATGTGGAAACATGACAAAATGGCACTCCTTCAAAACTTCTTCCCCTCGTGGCGGATGTTAGTTTGGGATATGTCACGAGGGGTGTGCACTGACTGTTGTCTTTCTGAAGCCCAGTGGTGCCACCGCCAGCACAGTCTGGATTAAAATCAAGTGGCTGAGGTCCATTTTATAAATTCCTCTGCTGCAGTTCGGTTCAGGAACAGATGTGATGCAGGCATGGCAACTATGACACAGTATGATTGAGTCTGGAAAGCCCGTTA